AGTGATCAATTTCAAACATGGAAAAACTAATAGTGGACTCCTAATATACCAGTAACTACTGCTTGATCCTTATGACAGATGTTGCTGAACCAAAATTCCCTAACTGCTGCATATATCGTTATATTCTATACCTGAAAGAGTAACTGAGGGGATTATCATCATTATTTCCCTTATATCTCGCTTACATTTTCTCTTTTTTTATTTTTTGTTTGCTTAAAAATTAAATGGGACACCCATCCTCTCTGTTTCATTACTGCACTGCTTACAAATAGAGAGAAACAGACATTTATTCACTGTTTTAACAACCCTTTTACTTTTTTGGTACCTGCAATAATGACGATCAATAGTTTTTATTTGGGAAAATAAACCTGTCAGAATTAACACTTATGCACTGTAAAGGTAATTTGTGGGTCTACACAATGGAGGCTAAAATTGAAATTTAATTAGATCTGGAGAATAAAGGTTTTTGGAAATGACTTGTAAATCAAAGTGCAGATTCTATTTAACTAGCTTGTTTCTAAATAATTAAGGTGTTACTGATGCTATAAAGATAACAATTCCATTTCAATCACTTACACTGGCAGTCAGTATTCAATGCCACAAGGCAATTCTGTGAGAGCAAAGTAAGGAGTATAAACTGCTTTGGGGTTTGTCTAAAGCCTTTCCCACTAGCTGTTTAGACTCGCCATAGAACAGTTGGGAATAGTTACATTATCTCTGTGTTCACATCAATTATAAGACATATGTGCGCAGTTATTGAATGACACAAAAAGTTAACTAGTGTTCTACGCTAATTAGTTCCATTTGTTTACTATGCTTGTGGGAAACGATACAAAATGTCAAAATGCAGAACATTTGTATTAAATCTCTGCAGACACAGTTTGTATTTATTCATAAAATCATTTACCTCTATAATATACATCAAGATTCATTTTCATTTGAAAGTCTGAATACAAAAAAGAAACACACTCTATAGCAGCTAAATTACCAGCCTACATCCAACAAATAAGCCTCATATATTTTTTTTATCTTTGCACTAAAGTTTCAGTGAGAGCCAATGCTACATAGCTGACATTGATATCACAAGCAACATGAGCTGACAGCTTACATATCAGCAGCCAAGCCTATAAAGGATGAATCATACTTGCCACGGCTGGAGCTGCATCATCAATGCGGAAAGTGATTGGACAGGAGCAGTAGCCAATTGCACAATTCTTGCATGTATGCCAGTCCAAGTTTTTCTAATTTGTTATTATGTTTCTTCAATTAATACCTGATATCACAACAGAAGGGTCCAGAGGCACAGGGACTTTTCCAGTGCATACACATATTACTGTGTATGCCAGAGTAACATTTTACATTAAAACTAAAATAAAAGTAGGACTGGTTTAGAGCAAAGGCCCTAAGGCTGACAACCTAGACAGCAAAGCCTTTTGCAGTTTATGCCACTCAACAATTTCTTTTCAACTTTGGATGGCTGCTAAAAGGTTAAAGCATAACCTCGATTTATAGGAATAAATAGGATTTTCTGTGCTTGCACAGAAGTAAGGGATGGGCCAGGAGAGTTTGCCACAGTGACTGCGCAGGGTGGATCTGGCAGGGCAGTGGACAGATGAGTATAAAACTTTGGGATAAAAAAAGAAGGGGGTAAGTAAAAGTAAAGTACAATTATCCCTAAATCACATGCATAATTTTACTCCTTAAGTACTTCAGGAGCAAGATATTGCCATCATAATGCCTAGTCTCAGGGCAAGCAAAGAAAGTGAAGTGATGGCCTTAGTTCTTATTAATGAGAAGGTCCTACATGCTGGCAGTGATCTCCTGCCTAATGGGGACTGTTTAGTTTGGGCAGTGATGTCATCTGATGGAGCATTGCAGAACACGGAGCTTGTGTAAATGTAAGTGGCCACTAAACACGAGTGCTGGGTCTTCCGTAATATCACCGATATATATGATTGATGGGGCATTATTCCATCAACTGACACAAATGATGGGGTACTATTCCTCCCTCTGATACAATGATGGGATGCTATGCCTCCAACTGATGCTTAATTTTGACTCCCACTGATGACTAACATCAGGGGATTTTTTACTCCCACTGACTACTGATGCTGGGGCATTCTTCTAGTCACAAACCACTAATGCCAGTGCATTTCTTTCATTCTCACTGACACCAAACGTTTTTTTATTTCCACTGAGCAATGAAGCTGGGTCAATCTTCCCCCACAAATATTGGGGCATCACTTACTCCCATTGATCAGCAATTTACAGTACAGTGCGTTACATACTCGGGGCCCCATGAACAGTTAAGCAATCTTGTAATTTACTCACTATTGCACTCTAGCGTGTCACAGGTTTTTCATACACCCTTGACCTCCATAATGGTGTACATGCTTATCTGAGAAGGAGGATTGGTAAGTGGCTGATTAGTATTTAGAGAATAAAATGTATATTGCTATTTAAATACAGCCCATGTACTTTAGGCTCTCCTTTTTCATTTGCCTCTACACTCTCTTTAGCCACCTCTACCCTGTTCCACCTATTTGCATCAACTATTCAAAGCCAAATATTAGTGCCATGTTCCTCCAATGGATCGTTGTTTTCCATAATGCAAAGTGAATAAATACCTGGTGAGTTCATCTGTAAAGAAATAACACTTGAAGCAGGGGATAAAGACACACAAACTATGGGATGAACATTTTACCATAAAAAGAGAGATTTTAAAAGTTGTCAGGCCACCAATGCCTAGTCAAAACAAAAAGATTTGTTTTGGGTAGAACTAGCCTTTAAGGGCAAGCAGACATTTACATGCCTGTATTCTAATGGATCATATTCTTTATATGTTATATTCCCACAAATGTTCCTACAATTTGCACAGCAGTGATAAATGGCATAATTTGTGACCTAACGCTTTCACTTCAAGTTCAAATCCATGTTTCCTTTAGTAACACATTTTGTAAAACCAGTCCTAAATGGAAGCAGACAGGAGACTGAGATACGATTGGAAGATTAGAAGACCTAAAGCAGAAGTGTTCTGGTGCATTCATCAAGTATTTGTAAAACCAAGAAAATACATGTGACCTCTCCTTTTTGTATTTGAGGGAGAGTTCATTTTAAGTAACATTTTATATGATCCATTTTTTTGCCTATTAATTGGATGCTTTTAAAGTTCTGCTACAGAGAGAACAGTTGTAAAAACCATCATTGTACACATAAAGAACATTAGCAGGGTTATTAACAAAAGGGAGAAGAGCTTGGAGAAGACAGGAGAAATGAACAATCTAGGCCAAAATAGCTGAACTGGAACTGGAAAGTGAGCTGAACTGGGGGATTTTTCCAAATCAGCTATGTTGTCCTAGACTGTTCACTTCTCCTGCCTTCTCCAAACTCTGTGGCGTCACAAGGGGGGTGCGGGTGACACCATTGCAGGGGTGACATCAAAATGACTAACAGTCATTTTGGTGTCACCCCCTCCAAAAAATCGAGCTCTCTGTCATGGACCGAGAGACCGACAGTGTCAGGAGACAGGAGGGGACCCGGGGGCATACCTCATACCACCGAGTGAACGTTCCCTCCACTTTCTGCCGGCATCCATCACCAAGATGGCCGCCGACAGGCGTCAATCAGATGACACGGCGGGGTTAAGAGTTTGGAGAAGTGAATAATCTAGAACAACATAGCTGAACTGGAAAGTGAGCTGAATTGGAGTATTTTTCCAAATCAGCAATTTTGGCCTAAATTTGTAACTTCTGCCTTCTCCAAACCCTTCACACTATAGTAGTTAATAGACCTGTTAGATCCTTTTAGATTTCCATAGGTGACTGTTTTTTTTTATATCTCTCCGGTAACTGAAGCAGTTACTGTATGTTGTCAGTTTTTATTATATAGCTTTACACTGGCTATTTGTAGCATACAAACTGTATGTATCTTTGTCTTTTTAAAAATACTAGTTGTTGAAAACCTCCTCTCTTGAGTCGATTGCTTTTCATTTCCTTTTGGTAAACTAGCACATATGATTGCACATGTGCCATTTACGCTGTCTAGACTTTTCATTTACTTTTCAGTCTTATAGCTTCTAGATGACTTCTAGTTTAAAATGCCAGGGAATTTAATGGCCTTGAATGATATGCTTAGGTTGTGCTGTAAGGAAATTGCGATGTTTTATGGAACAGTTTATTTCAAATAAAGTTTCAAAAATTTGATAAATCTTGTACAAAAGTTTAATGTATAAAGTTATTCTTAGGAATATGAAGCAGCAAGACCACCTTATGTATTTCACTGGTGCCAAGAGACTACATTGATATTCCTGACAGATTCATAGCAGGAAAATTAACTACGAAGAGGCCATGTTTAAGATGTCAAAATAGGTTTAGCGTAACCTCTTGCTCCTACTTACACCCAGGGCTGAATTTGAAGATTATGTTGTCATAGGTGAGTAATACTTTACAAGCTCCAGTTTTTTAGTCACCAACGATTCTCCATTCCAAGTATTATGCAAATTAATTTAAGGGAACTCAGTTGGACTCAGCTGAATATGAGAGTATGTGGTCAAAGTCATTCATTCTTAAAAAGGATCAGAAGAGGAAGACATCTTTCGTACTACTGAGTGACTGTAGTAATGTACAAAACTATGGTTGTGTTTTTATACTAGTAGGTAAAAGTGTGATTAGGGCTGACTTTTGGTAAAAAACATTAGACTGCTCTGACACAGTATAACTGTCTTATCATGTTATGAATTAATACTATTTCATGAATGCATTACCAAACAATCAATGTTTTTAGAATAAACCATACATAACCAAATAAGTTAATGGATATATATGAGTTTAATAGCAAACGGTTGGTGCTATATAAATCCTGTATAATAATTACTAATTTAATACTACTGTATCCAAGTTCTTTGTGTTTCTTACATCAGTGACCTATCACGTAAAAAAATATGTAGACCACACCACAATAGATAATGGAAAAGATAATGGAAACAGTTACAATATACTCACAGTTATACTGAGGGTTGATGTTTTTTCTGGCCTCGAGGCTGTTTACTGTTATTTGGAAGATGATGTGCAGCAAAAGGAATGAAAGACTGCTGAAACATAAGGATTTCAATAACCGTCCTGTATGTCCTGCAAAACAAACAGAAATTTATTTTAAGGTGGGAAAGGTAATAGTGACAATTGATGTAAGTTGCAGCTATTCATTGTTTAAAAAGTCCTCCCAAATTTCCAGAAGGCTGAGTGAGACCATTCTGTATTGCCTTGGCTATTGTGCAGTCCTATTTCCATGACTGTTTGATTCCTAAAAATATCACGTATGCGTACAATATATTCAGAGAGTAGAATAAGTACTCAGAGAAGTGGAATTTGATTAACAAACCCAAACATAACTCAGATCTATCAAGCAGATGTAGAGTAGACTCAGACACTATAAATGTGCTCCTCTCTACCTTTATTTTATTCAATTTTTTTCCTTTCACAGATCATAGGATTACCTCAGCTTAAAGTGACATTAAACCCACAGATTTTTTAACATAAAACAATACTGTAATGTGTGCCTTACTGTAATCCATGGTTGTTTCCCTTCTCTTTGCTGCTCTTCCTTTTAAATCTGTATCTGTTCTCATGCTCTGCAGAACTTCTGTTTTGCAGCAGACTGCCTTGTCTCAGGAATGGATACACGGTGTCTGTGTATAGGTTTGTATAGGCTTGTAACCTGAGCCAGCACTACAGGAAGAGGCCCTGAGCTAAAAAGGGAAGTTCTCCCCAAGCATGAGAAGACATGAGGATTTAAAAGGAAGAGCAGCAAAGAGAAGGGAAACAACCATGGATTACAGTAAGGCACACATTACAGTATTGGTTTATGTTAAAAAATCTGAGGGTTTAATGTCACTTTAA